CAGTTTCCTCATTCACACCCAGAGGAGAAGCAATGACCCCAAGACAGGATATCCCAGACAGCAAAGCTCATCACAACCCCCAATGGGAGCTAACCAACACCCAGCTGTCCTAGTAAGTGGCTACAATGCAGCTCCTCTTGCTCCAAAGGCTCAGGCCCTCTGGCTCTTGAGCCAACGGGGACTCCCCATTAACTGGGAGCAGTATGGGGCATATGACACACAAGCAGCCTTGGTGCTATCCAGCAGAGGACAGTGGTTGCAGCCACATGGCAATGCCCACACACTGTGCCACACTTGGCTGGGTACACAGACTTGCTCCTGCCTAGAGGTTTGCTTACCTGCTACCGTCGTCCCCAGCCCCCGAAGGATCATCTTCTTCAGCAGAAACGTGAGGCATCCTTCACAACCCAGCAGCTGTAACTAACCCATCAGAAGAGGCCACTTGCTTGGAAACCCACGTCCCAGGGTGCATTTAGGCACCTGATCCCTCTGCAGTGGGAGCAAGCAGGAGACAACTCTGTAGCAGGGGCGTGTTGCAGTGTTACTCGCAGGTCTCCCTTCAGTTTCTAGGGGGTCTCTGCACAGCAGGGGCCTGTCCCCTGGTAAACAAGTGAGACACAGCAGGAGTGCGAGCTGTGCAGGAGAACCTCACTGGGGGCAGTTCTCCACGCAGGCCTCCTGGTTCTGGAGGACCCTCCACGACTAAAGCTCTCAGGAGGGGCAACAGGCTCGTAGGACTGGAGCCAGCATATTTCCAGTCCTAGGCACTGGCTGTTTGGAGTGGGAGGGCTTCCGGGCAGGGCCCAGCTGTTCTTTGGGGCCCACAAGCGGCACAGGTACGCACTTTGCATCGGGGCTGGACGTCTCTGGAGATTGGTGGAACAGGAGGGCGAGATTCCCCCAGCCCTTCCCAGAGCCCTAAGGCCCAGCCCCATGGCCTGTGTACCCCTCTCTGGATCAGGGCCCAGGCACTGCTGCCTCCCAAAGGGGGCTGCCAGGCCTGGTTTCCACCCGCCCAGGGCCTCGGTCGGGTGCCGGGGGAGGGGAAATAACCCCCAGGCTCAGTTACAGGGTAAGTGCAACCTGTCTGCCTAGCCCGAAGCGCACCCGGGGGTGTCCCAGCGTCGCTCCCCCGAGACTCGGGGGTGTTGGGATCACGCGTCCGCCCCATTTCTTAGGGGTATTACGGTAGCACCACACAGCCCTCCACCCACATCACTGCCCAGCCCCCAGCCGAGATCAGGGCCCCGTCCCATTTCTTAGGGGTATTACGGTAGCACCACACAGCCCTCCACCCACATCACTGCCCAGACCCCCAGCCGAGATCAGGGCCCCGCCCCCCCAGTGCCGGGCGCTGCCCAGACCCCCAGCCGAGATCAGGGCCCCGCCCCCCCAGTGCCGGGCGCTGCCCAGGCCCCCAACCGAGATCAGGGCCCCCTTGCACTCGTTCCCGGTGACGCTCAGGCCGACA